CCTTTTCAGTATGTGGTACTGAATCGGACGCATATCTGAATGTATATCATCATTATCATCATATCTTTATTCCAGACACAAAAAAGGTCCATAGTAAAAACAACAAGCAAAACAAGAGAAAAAATAAAATTAAAATAAATAAATAAAATGTAAAAAAGATGTTTTTCACTGAGTCACAAATAGATTATGTGTATGTCACATTACATCTGACTTTGTCATCAGTGGGGGGTGAAGGATCGATAAAGACTCTAACCTCGAGTCACGCTGTTTAAATCTGTAGCTCCACACGTCTTCAGCTACAGAACAGAAGTCCATTGTTTCGTCTTTATTCTTTTCATTTTCCATGTCCTGGATGACTGAGAATCCGCAGAAACATGTGATTGAAACGTACAACTTCACGAACCGTATCGACCCTAAAGTTCGATACTTTACTTCCAGCACTTCATTATAAAAATATAATGCTGCACTGGAGCGTACCATCAGAGACAAGTTCAGATGTAAAAACTGAACTAAACAAGCATGTCAGGTAATTATTTAAGTGGCTTTGAAGAAGCAGCGACTTCAAAATCGAAATGCTACAAGTAGCATGTTCAGCTAATTGTGAACAAGCAGCGAGCTGAACGAGACGCCACGTCTTTTTCTGAGCATGCAGTCACATCAGGACCATGTAGAGTTCRCACTGGAGTCTGATGGAGGTTGCTTTTAAAATGTAATGTGAACATTCATGCCGTAAAATCTGATTTTTTTTTTTTCAAAAAATCAGATTTAAGAACCTGCAATGTGAACGTAGCCCGAGTCTTGTTTTAAACTTGTAGCATTAATTTCTGTAAGACTTGTGAACCCAGCGGTCATTGGGGGATATGTATAAATGTTGTTAATTGGCCAAAAATAAAGATACAGTTACACCACTAACACCTAAAACAACTAGCAAAACATTTTATATGCGTTTATCATTTTTGAACATTTCTAACAATTATGGCAAAAATAGGCTAGTAGCAATCATCTTAAATTTGATTTGATTTCTGGAAATTATTATTTTTATAATAATAATTAATTAATAATTATTTATTAATTATATAAAATATTATTAAGACCCCTCACTTGTTGTTATATGTCTCACAGTGGTGTCTCAACTCTGCTTTAAAACAGTCATATTTGGGTACATTTTGTACCTTTTTTTTTTGTTTTATTTATGTATAGTTTGAATCTTGTTTTCGGCTCTCAGCTCCCAGCAGAGAGGTCCRTTACGACAGGATGTGCCCCCATCTCCTACGCCTCCAATCCGTGCACCGCGTTACGAAACCATGACACGTGGAACTGTGGGCGGAGGTTACAGGTAGGACAGAGGAGTGGGCTTCCCATGTGCACAAGTACAACTCCAGGTATTTATTTTTCAAACTACTGCTGTCCTACTGGAAATAACCCTTAATACAAGCACTGATCCATGTTAACCTGGTGTGTTACAGACACGGTATGGATCCCAGCACAGCACAGCATGGTTATACTGGAGAGAAAGAAGAAAGCAGCAACACCAAAACTACTCCAGACAAAAGAATGCACATGTTCMCATAAACCAGGTTAAAACAAGCCAATTATAAACAGCTCCACAGTCTTCATGCAGAAAAACACTTTACATTTTAATGTCTGTGTTGTCTGACACATAAAATAATACATGCAAAAACATGATGTGTGCGCATGGTTTAAAGTCTTATTGCTTTAAATTAGTTGGCTCAAAATTGTGGCGTACGACGTTTTGTTCAACTGGTTTCCACTGATTGTTCTCCAACAATGCTGAAATTATAATACCTCTAAAATTCAGCGTGCTGACATAAATTGTTTGGTTGTTGATTCAAAATAAATTAGCCACACGGCTTGTCGTAAACACTCAGAATTCAGTGAGAAATCAACAGAAAAGTTGCCTTTTTTCCTGTAGTTTTCTCACAATCATGAGTCCCCAGGATAATCTCCACTGACCACAACTCAGTGACTTATTACCTTAAGATTGAAACAGACTGGATGGGTTTGATTTTCCTTCTACTCTGAGTAGATTATAAATGCTAAAAAAAAGGAAAATAGTCATGACCTGTATCAGTACTGCAGTGCTGAAGTCAGAGTAACAAGAGAATTGATCGTTTTAATAATAATTGCATCTTAAGGAATAAAATTATCAAGAACTAAACCAAAAAAAAAAATTTAAAAACGCACCACAAAACATGTTGAGTTGTGGCAGTGTTAATGCTATTTTAAATAAATCTCTTATTTTGAACCTTTTTTCCCCCCAAAAAAACAGAAGCACCTGTCAACATGCACATATTTTTACACWGATTCTTTGGTTTCTTCAGTTTTAATCACAGTAAAGTGCCGTTTGAAATCTGTAATGATATCTTTTATAAAAGCTGCAGCTTTTCATTTTTTTATGCTTCTCTGAGTCGAGATGAGTTTAATTACATTTTAGTTGAAAATTAGATCAAATCCAAGTGGGAAACCGAATGACTCAGTTTGGSTCTTTGTTAAATGCATCCTGCAACAACAATAATTCAGATCAGCTAAAGCAAAGCTAAATCTCTATTTGGCATTTGCATCAAAGCTAAAGCACATTAGCTGTAGTGGACATAAATTCCCTTTAGTTTAGGTAATTTAATCTGTGCTTTGATTGTGTGATCCTAATCAGTGTTGTCAGCCTGTGTAAACTGAATCACCTCACATCGATTGGAATATTTTTACTTTTGTTTTGCTTTCAGAATCACTTGTTCTGTGTTTACAGCATGTTGTTAAAATACAGGGCAACCACTTTTAAAACATCAAACCTGCAGCTCGGTAAGRTCAAGACGGCATCGATGTTTTACAAAGCACTGTTAGGGGTGATTTTACTGTGTATTATTTACATCATGCACTATAGTTTAAATGTAAAGAACTTCTCTATAAACTGATAGTTTAGACGTCAATGTGTGCTGGAGTCCTGCTATATCAGGAAAAGAGCTTTGGAGTGCTGCTCAGCAGCGTAATTTAGTTTAAACACTTATTAAACAATCAGTTAGGTGTAACGAAGAGTCAGAGTAACATTTCTTTGTTTCAAACCACTAAGTTCCACAGTATTATCTTCAGTAGACACTGAATGTTGACATTTCTGTTAAACAAAAAGAAAAAAATTGTATAGGTCTTCTGGACGGGTTCTTCTCTAATGAAACGTGCCCCGGCACAAACAGAGCAATGTTGTATATGCTGTTAAGTGCCAGGAGGACCGACCAGTTATACTTCGGGGAAACAAAGCAGCCACYGTTCAAAAGAATGTCCCAACACAGACGAGCTACRTCTAATGGCCAGAACTCTGCAGTTTTCACTCATTTACAGGCCAGCGGTCACTCTTTCAGAGATGAGGATGTTCTCATTCTWGATAGRGAGGAACGTTGGTTTGAGAGAGGAGTAAAAGAAGCCATTTTTGTGAAGAAAGACCGTCCATCATTAAACAGAGGTGGAGGCCTCCGTTTTCAGTTGTCCTCCTCCTACAGTGCTGCTATTGCCAGTATCACTCCACCCCTGTTAAAAATAGGTGTTAATTAGGTGTCAACGATAGCCATGTGATGYGAGTATCAGTCACATGGAGGCAGKGCTTAAAAGCCTGAATTTTGCCTGAAACTCTCAGACTGAAGAAGTCTCTTGGAGGAGAGACGAAACGTTTCATTAGAGAAGAACCCGTCCAGAAGACATATACAATTTTTTTCTTTTTGATTTTTTACCTGGCTTACTGAGATGCATCAGGACATTTCTGTTAAACCTTCTTCACACGGGATGACATCCTGCTACAACGTAAAAACAATCAGCCAGAATGGTTTTACACCAAGTAACAGGGAAGTTATCCATTGTGAGCGGAGGCCTAATAACTGAGGTTGAAATTCCACTAAAGTGAATGTTGAGATAATTTGATTGTAACAATAAGAAAAAAAAGTATTTTACTTATTACTTATCATCTACCTGGAGATGTTTTTGTTTTCATGAGTTTTATAGGGAAAATAAAAATGAAGGATTTTTTTCTAGGTTGTGTCAAGAAAGAATGTGGTTTTAGGATTTATGCAAATGGAAACCAGTTAAGAAAAAGGAGATATGTGGATGGAAGAAAACAAAAAGAAGGAAATGAAAGTTGGAAGAAAGAAAAAAATATGTGGATGTATAGAAACAGGTAGAAGAGAACTGGAATAAATACAGAGCAGGAACAAGAATGACTTTGGGTTTCAAACTGGTTTCAAAGTTATAAAATAAAACAAACTGAAATGTGCAGTAAGAGGGAAATTACCAGTGTGACTGAATGTAAAACTGTTAACCCCAACTATTTTTATGATGTTACCACTTTTTTTTAGCAAAACGTTGAAAGTTATACTTCCAGATCAAATTGTCATTATATCAGGTAATTTGTAGGTTTTGACCTGGTGCTTAAATAATTTGTTTGACACCAAATTAATTTTTGTAATCTTTGTAAAGGAGAGTTAGAGGTGATCATTTAAGCCAGAACAGTCAGAAAACAAATAAGGTTTCAGCAGCTGTTTATCGATGTTCCTGATTAAGTGTTTTGATTTTCAGATGTAACATGAAAGGTGTTTTTTTTACTCTTTTTCTATATACTAGCCCACATTTCAAATGTATTTAATTGTTCACAAGCAATTTTTTTTTGAATGAAAGTTGATGACTTTGGGTTTTGAGCAGAGCCTTACATTCTCGCTCTCGACTCGTCACATATTGACGGTCCACGTTCCCTATACTCCCGGTTTTAACACATCAGGCAACCCCCCTCCCGTCAGTTAGTAGCTGTGTTTCCATTGACCATGAAAATGCGCAAATTAGATTTTTGAAATGAATTTGTTCAATGGAAACACGTCAGTTTTAAAAGAATTTTTTTTTTTTCGACAAAATGTTTTTGCGCTAGGATGACGTGGTATTTCGGCCGTATCGAAATTGGTGTTTTTTGCAAAACTGCAATGGAAACACTTTTTTCGCATCACGGGAGTCACGTGATCAACAACCGGCTGTTTCTACTGTCGAAAAAGACGACGACGAAGAAGATAACAGGAAGTAAAAGTAGTAANCGACTACAATTTCCCAAAAACACAGCATACGTAGCCACTCCCAAGTAGGGACTTGTCTCTGGAAAGCCTCGATAAAAGACGCCGACGTCTCCTCTGATGATGAGCGCTAGTGTCGCGGTAGCAACATGCTATGTGTTTACATTCATTGTCGTCATGTTTGTAATGACTTATCGCGAGAACAAACGTATTCACGTGTGACTTTAATAGCGTTTCTTACTTAATGGAAACACTGCAGTTGCAAAACTGTTTTTTCAACATTAACAGAATATCGACAAAGTTTTGCGCACATTTGCAATGAAAACACAGCTTGTGACGCATGGGACTTTTCCAGGTCTATGGGTTGGGGTCCGTGGTTATTATTAGGGATCAGGTTTACTGGTTAATTGTAGGTAGTGAGGTCAATGATAGGATGTCTAGGGCTAATAGAAGTTTAGTTTAGGGTTTTATGATGGTTAGTTGTTGTGCATTTTCTACACTTTTCTACAATATGACACCTTCTCTTTGTTGTCATCTCGTCAATAACGRACACAAGAGGGATACCCAACACATCAAAACTGGTCGCAGAGGGAACCTGGACCCAATATGTGACGAGTCAGTAGTGAGAATGGGCTGGAGCCTCAGGTTTTTTGGTACCATAATGTTCTGCATAGTTCTGTTTGTTTCTTTCTGATTCAGTTGTTTTACATTTTACACCAAAAATGACCTGTGTAGCAGATTTTTAAATAGTGAAACAGCATGGTGAACTTATCAAACATCCTGTCTGGCTCTTGGAAATACGAGTTGCACAAGCTGATGGTACTCACTATAGTTTTTCCTGTGAAGTATTCTGGTACTCCTTGTTGTTCTTTCACAAAACCCGGTGAATGAAGGAACCAACTGTCCAAAAGATTTAACTGCTTTTTTATTCTACTTTTTTATCTAAAATTTCTATACAAAAAAACCAATCTCATCCTATAAATATTGTAACAACTTTGCTATTGTTTTCCAGTATTTTAAATGTATGTGTGTATCGTCTTTGATTGCATTAAAATGTTCTTTATTAAACCCTCGTGTCTTAAGATGTCACCCTTTAAAAGACAAATGTTGAACATTTGCTCCTTAAGTAAGAATGCATGCCCAGCACATCTGCTGAAGTTAATTTAATCTGAGTCGAGAAATCATTTCCCTCGTGTCCCTACAAGGTGAGTCATTAACATTGCCAACCCAATTTAGTCCATCATTTAAGCTGCTGATGTATAGTGCCTTTGTGATAAGAGATAGATGTTAGGCTCAAATTAACAGAAGACTAATTATCAATTAGAAAAGGAAGATGATAAACTCTGATTGTCGCGGAAAGTTTTCTCAATTTTCCCAGCATAACGCTGTCGTACTACTAGGCCATCTTTGCGTTAATAAGCATTTAGTCACAGTGACTGGTTTAAGGTGCTGTCTTATTTGCCAGACACTTTAGCTACTTGGCTGGAGCGACAATCAGTGGAGTTAGAGGTAATGAGACACGAGCCACAGAAATGTTTTATCAGCCAAACCATAATTAACATATCCCACACCCTCTTGGCCAATGGGGAGACGAAGAGGAAGTAATTAAATTCTCCTGGGTCGCTGCCACGGTTCGATATGGATTTACAAAGTGTTTCCTCTTACGTGTGCCAGTTCAACATTCAGTTTTTTTATTGAGTATCTTGTTAATTATGAAGCACCTTTTGGATTAATCGCTCTGTTCTGATCAAAGGCGGGGGCAACTGAAATATCTTTCTTTTTAACTCACTGGATTATTTAGG